AGGGACTCACTTGAGGAGGCAGTCTGACACTTAGCAGAGCTTGAACGCTGTGCTGGGAGGACTGCTGGTCTCTTCAGAGCTGTCAGGCAGGAACGTTTAAGTCTGCTGAAGCTGTGCCCACAGCTGCTCTTTCCCCTGGGTGCTCTGTCCCAGGGAGATGGGGGTTTTATCTATAAGTCCCTGATTGGGGCTGCTGCCTTTTTTTCAGAGATGCCCTGCCCAGAGAGAAGAAATCTAGAGAGGCAGTCTGGCCACAGCGGCCTTGCTGAGCTGCTGTGAGCTCCACCCGGTTTGAACTTCCTGGTGGCTTTGTTTACACTGTGAAGGTAAAACCTCCTACTCCAGCCTCAGCAATGGCTGACGCCCCTCCCCACACCAAGCTCGAGTGTCCCAGGTTGATCTCAGACTGCTGCTGTGCTGGCAGTGAGAATTTCAAGCCAGTGGATCTTTTTTTTTGAGACTTGTTTTGCTCTTGTTACCCAGGCTCAGTGCAATGGTGCAATCTCAGCTCACTGCAACCTCCTTCTCCTGGGTTCAAGCGATTCTCCTGCCTCAGCCTCCTGAGTAACTGGGATTACAGGAACCTGTCACCACACCCAGCTAATTTTTGTATTTTTAGTAGAGACAGGGTTTCACCATGTTGGCCAGGCTGATCTCAAACTCTTGACATCAGGTGATCCACTCGCCTCGGCCTCCCTAAGTGCTGAGATTACAGGCATGAGCCACCACATCTGGCCACCAGTGGATTTTAGTTTGCTGGGCTCCATGGGGGTGGGACCTGCTGAGCCAGACCACTTGGCTCCCTGGCTTCAGCCCCCTTTCCAGGGGAGTGAATGATTCTCTCTCACTCATGTTCCAGGCACCACTGGAGTACAGGAAAAAAAAAAAAACACACACACACACACACACAACTCCTGCAGCTAGTTCGGTGTTTGCCCAAACAGCTGCCCTGTTTTGTGCTTGAAACCCAGGGCCCTGGTGGTGTAGGCACCAGAGGGAATCTCCTGGTCTGCAGGTTGCAAGGACCGTGGGAAAAGCACAGTATCTGGGCCAGAGTGCACAGTTCCTCAGGCTCAGTCCCTCATGACTTCCCTCGGGTAAGGAAGAAAATTCCTCCATCCCTTGTGCTTCCCGGGTGAGGCAATGCCTCACCTTGCTTTGACTCACCCTCCATGGGCTGCACCCACTGTCCAACTAGTCCCAGTGAGATGAACCTGTACCTCAGTTGGAAATGCAGAAATCATCCAGCTTCTGCATTGATATCGCTGGGAGCTGCAGACCACAGCTGTTCCTATCTGGCCATCTTGCCAGCCTTAACTATATCCTAATTTTTTTAAAATCAATTTTGGTCTGGCTTCTTCAAAAAATACGTAATTCCTGCATTCTTCCTCAAAGCATGCTGAACATAATTTAAAGTTTTCTCAATGACTCAGGATTATCACTGTATTATCCAGTGATGATCTCATAGGTGTGTTATCCCTAAACTACTGTGCTTCAAATTCTTGTGTCTGCTTTTTGTAATTGTTTCCTCTCTCACTGTTGACTGTCAAATAACAACAATAACAAAACAGGAACATTAATGGTGCTCCAAGCACTGTGCTAAGGATTTTTTGTGTATTAGCTCATTTAATTCTCACAAGGTACGTCCTTTTATTATTCCAATTTTGCAGTTTAGGAAACCAGCTCAGGCAGTCAAGAGCTTTGACCAAGGCCATTCGTAGTAAGTGACAGGGCTGCCACTTGAACCCAATAAGTCTGACCCCAAAGCCCAGGCTTATAATCACCACACATCATCTCTGTGACCCTGCCTATAGGCGTCTCTCTCTCTACTTCTAATTTGCTTCTTTAAATCTGTCACAGGATAAGAAACAAGATAGCCAGATTATAGAACTCTGTGTAAAGTAAGAATAAATAGGAGATGGGATGGGAGGTGCCACGAACAGAGAGGGAGCTGGGGAGAGGGTGTCCTCCATGAAAATGTTAACTTTTGAACATTTACATATAAAGGCACCTCTAGTGAGAAGAGAAACTAAAAGACAAAATTGGGTGTGCATGGACCCCAGAAGAGGATGCTGGGGCGTCTGACAGTCCAGGCACCAGGCTTTCTTTCAGGAAAGAAGCTAATGGACAGAGCAGGAGCTTTGGCCAGTTTCCCTCCATTTCATTTAGAAGCAACAACTACTTTCTAGGGAGCAGCACCTAGTGTCATTCCAGGGTCTACAGACCAGGGAACCGAAGACTCCACCCCTGCCTGAAGAGGGGATAGCCTTGTGGTTGAAGTGTGGGGTCTAGATTCAAAAGATGTGGGCTCTAGTTCTTGCTCTGTCATTTACTCACTATGTGTCTTTGTGAAAGTAAATTCAACTTCTCTGAGCCTTCATTTCCTAATCTGCAAAATCAGAATACTAAGAATATCCACTTGATAAGCTTGATATGAGAATTAAGGAATGAATCCAACCTACACAGGCCAGTACTTAGTCCACAGTAAGTATTCAATGGCAGGAGTTGCTATTGCTCCCTGTCTCAGCAGCAGGAACTCAGAGAAATCGCTTACATTTACTCGGGATCGACTGTAACCAGACACCGTCCTAAGCCTTTTACCTGTGGATTCCCTCATTCCTCACAACACCCCATAAAGTGGACAGCTGTTAGCATCTCCACTTTATAGATGAAGACGGGGCCGAGGCCCAGAGAGGTTTCCTAATTTGCCCAAGATCACAGGGCATGCCAGTGAGTGGCAGAACACAGAGGTCCAAGAAATTGCAGCCACTCTGATGTAGTGTCTGTGGTGGCAATGAGGAGGCAGGATGTCTTCCTCTGCCGGATATCCACTGCCCACCAACAACTAAGTTTCACGCTGGATCTAGTCCTCAAGAAGCTTCTAGTCAAATGGGGCAGACAGATACAAACTAAGACAGCATAGCCTAGGCAAGGACAGAACAAAGTTTTTGGAGAGAAGTTTGCAGGGGAATTTCTGGAAACCACAGAGCACCATTCGGACTTAGAGTAAGAAAGCTTTCATTTCGCCCTGAGTCTGGGCATTGAAAAGAACACGGTCTCTTCAGCAGATGTCAGGCCCAGTGTCACTCTGTAGTGGAAACTGGTCCTAGAAACTTACTGTTCCTGGAAATAAAAAATGCCAGGATTCCTTTTCCTCTCATTGTTAAGGGTCTGAAATGCTCAATTCGTAACACACAGAAGGCCCTGCAGACCATTCAGCTGATGAAGTCAGCCCTTCTGTTCCACCCATGGAGTGTGACTGAGAGTCTCTACAGTCATACTCTTCTTGACCCTCCAGGGATGAGCACACTGCTGGGGCCGGGTCCACTCCACCCTCTCCAACACAAGGCTGGCACTCAGAGGTTGACCAATGGCACCAATGACTCCTGCCTTTATGGGCTCACCGTCCTTCCAAGGAAGGAAAGCACTGGTCTTATGAGTGGTGAAGCTCTGTTCTTGCCTTTACACCAGTAGTCAGCTTTTTACTTCTTTCCAAACGAGTTAAGGAAATGCTGAGCTTCTGCTTCTACATAACCAAGACAGGAAAAGACTTGCCTTTAAAACTGAGGCAGTATCTACTGTGATCACGGACTAGGTCCGAGAGGGTTCAAAGGTCTACCATGTCAACTATTGATGTTTGCAGGGTGGAAGACCAGGCGGAAACTTAGATAGAGCCCGGGGTGAGATAAACTGTGAAAGGATGAGGGCTTCTCATTACACTTAGACTCCAATCCAAACTTCTTATCAGGGAGCACAAGGCCAGTCTGATCTGGGCCCCACAAGTCCTCCAACCCTGGCCGCAGCACTTCTTCCTTTAACAGACCTCTAACCACATGAGCCTCCTCGAAGAAACTGGGAGGCCTTTGCCCTAGCTGACTCTTCTACCTGGAAGCCCACATAGCTAGCTCCTTTATACCCTGAAGCATCCGCTAAGATGTCACCTCCTTGGAGAGACCTTCCCTGACTTTCCAGTCTAAAAAAGGATTTTCTCTCTCTCTTTCCCCACCTCTCTCTCCCCCAACCCCTTTTCCTCCTTATTCATCCCTTTCATAGCACTTGCACTGCTCCTGGGCCTGTATGCCCTCAGATCCATTCCTTATCCTCTCCTGTGTTTCCCAAGGGTGCCAGCAGGATTCTGGCTAGGTTTGGCCCATGGCAGCCACTGGGAGAACCTCGAACGTGCAGGAAGTGTCAGGCTAGGTATTGCCTGCCTCCATCTCTGCCTTGAGAGGCATCTCTGCAGCTGCCACCTCTTCCCCTTGGCTCCAGTTTCCACTGGAAAGGCCACCACAGTTCTACCTTCCCCAGTGCGATCCCACCTTGCCACCAGCAACACTACTGCTTTCCTTGTCACTCCTGTCCGGGGTAGTAGCTGCTCCTTACTGTGTCTAATCTCTGAGCTGCCTCTCTCTCCCCTGTTTGGTTTCTCAGCTCTTTATCACCTGTGTAACCAATTCCCTGCATTAAAATTCTAATACTTCATTGGTTTCTGATCTTCTGATTGGACCCTGACTGATACAGCACTTATCATAACTTGTAATTTTTAAGTTAATTTGTCCAGTTACTTAATTATTGTTTAGACCCAGGGACTTTATCTATCTTGTTCATTATAACATCTCCAGTCCCAGCACAGCACCTGGCAAATAGTAAGCTGCGTTCATTAGTAATGCAAAATGCTTGTCAAGTGATGAGAAGAAGTACAATTGCTGTCTCCTAAGAAATCCTCACATTTCCAAAAAGGAAAGAGAAATGCCATTTGGAAATGGTGTGTATTTTTACACATCAGCAGCAAAGTGGGTTTTGATCTTTTCAGTGTAACAGAGGCACCGAGACATCCCTCAACAAATAAGAGGTGAGTTAAGTGGTCTTGGTTAAGAAACCAACACAGCTCCAGGGACATACCAGTCTCCATGAGGTGCCTCATATCAGGACACACACCCACAGCCTGCCTGTGGTCTGCATGACTCTGTGTACACGAAAACCAAGCCTTGGGAACAAACCTTTTTGCGGTCTCCACAGACTTCTGCTCCGCCAGCTCCTTCTGCAGCTCCCTCTCCTTGGCTTCCTTTTGCCCGATGGGGCAGTCCTCTGGGACAGTGAACAGGGACAGTGCATCTTTGCTGTCCTCTTCTCGGAGCACTTTAGCAAACACCTTCTCCGCCAGGAGCCGGACTTGCTCATCCACTTCAGAGATGTTCAACTTGGGAAACTGCCGCGGCATCTCGGCTAGCAAAGAAAGAACAAGCATTAACTTAATGAATAGCGGGATGCCCTGAGTCAACAGCACCGGGGAGGAGAAGGCACTGAAGTTAGGGCCAGGCCTACCTGGTACTTGGGGTCAACTGTCTACTTAGGAATTGCCCAGACCAAACCCAGCATGCCAGTTTCAAAATTAGCTCAATAAGTAACTGGATGTGAAGCATGTAGGGCCACTTACGCGTCAGGAGACAGCAAGTGTTCAAAATTCAAAGAATGAACTGTTCAACTAGGTGGGCTTCCATTTTCCCAAACTCAGGGAACCTGCAGCACCTGGCAGCCCTGCCCTCTGACTTTGTTCCCATGTTTGAGAAGGGACAAGAGAGCGTTCAGCTCTCCCTCCTCCAGACTATGAGGATACTGTTATAGCTGCAACAATAATCAAACCTCACTCCCCAACTTCACAGAGGGGAAGTCCAAAGGCTTTAATAGCTAAGGTCCCACAAGATTACAGCAGAGCCCTGGGAAATCCAAAGCTGCATTCTTCATTACATAAAACAAGGCCTTTTGCTGAAGAGAAAGAATCTGCTGTTGCAGTTTCAAACCCTCTGGAACCCCCTAACGAGACACAGCAAATAAAGGTTTTAGGACAGGAACACTCTTTACCCAGCTGAAAACTCACTCTCTCAAAAGAGCTTTCTCTATCTACCTCCTCGCATACTGATTCCTTACTAACAGTCACTGGCCTTAATCACCTGCTTGGTTGGTTGGGTTTCATTCTTGCTTGCTTGCTTTCTTCATTTCCTTATTTCTTTTCTTTTTTGCAATTACTTATATAGCAGTTAATATGTACGCTCTGGCCAGGCACAGTGGCTCACGCCTGTAATCCCAGCATTTTGGGAGACCGAGGCGGGCAGATCACCTGAGGTCAGGAGTTTGAGACCATCCTGGCCAACATGGTGAAACCCTGTCTGTACTAAAAATACAAAAAAAAATTAGCTGGGCGTGGTGGTGGGCACCTGTAATACCAGCTGTTTGGGAGGTTGAGGCAAGAGAATCGCTTGAACCCGGGAGGTGGTGGTTGCAATGAGCCAAGATTGAGCCACTTCACTCCAGCCTGGGTAACAGAGTGGGACTCTGTCTCAAAAAGAAAAAAAAAAAAAAGTACACTCTGGGGCCAGGTGTGGTGGCTCACGCCTGTAATCCCAGCACTTTGGGAGGTCAAGGCGAGAGGACTTCTTGAGCCTAGAAGTTTGAGACCAGCCTGGAAAACATGACAAAACCTCATCTCTAAAAAAAATTTTAAAAATTAGCCAAGTATGGTGATGCATGCCTGTAATCCCAGCTGCTAGGGAGGCTGAGGCAGGAGGATCTCTTGAGCCAGGGAGGTTGAGGCTGCAGTGAGTTATGATCGTACTACTGCACTCCAGCCTGGGAGACAGGGTGAGACTTCATCTTAATTTTAAAAATAATATATATATATGTGTGTATACTCTGCAAAGAACTTCATACTTAATAACTCAGTTAATCTTATTATTCCCACTTGACAGATGAGAAAATGAAGGCATAGAGAGCTAACACACCCAGGGTCACACTTTTAATAAGTTAGCAGAGGTTTGTGCTGTTCTCAGCCTTTCTTCCTCATCCCTTTCCTCTCCGATCCTCAGCTCAGGGATCTGAACCCAGGCACCTGGTTCCCACCTCTGTGCCCTCACCCACCATGCTGTGCTGCTTCTCTTTGTCCATGTACATGTCCAGGCAGGGGCTCCTCACAGTCCCTAGCATAACACTCGTGGAATGGATTAATACTGCACACTTTTCGACAAGCCACCCTCGCTGGAAGCAGCTCTGGAAGAGGAGTTTGCCATCTACCTATGACCACAGTTTCTTTAAGGTTGATTTAAAGAGAGAAGTGGTTTTGTGGACCAGACAGACAAGGATGAAGGTGAGACAGATCTCCGCTGCCGTCTGGCAGGGAGAAGTGCAACTACAGGGGAGAGGAACATACTAGGCCATCTTGGGGCATTCTCCGGCCTCACAATGTTCTCATCTGTGAGATAAAGGGATTGAGCTAAGTGGTCTCTAAGGCCCTCTCAGCTCTAAGTGGCATAATTCTAGGTACCAGAGAGATTTCCGGTGCCTGAGGAGGGCTTGCTGCTCTGAGTCTGAGTGGCTTGTGGGACTAAGTCATGACACAGACAGGAAGGAGGAAAGCAGGCTAGTAACAGGCAATCAGAGCGAGGTCTGTGGCTCCCTTAACTCTGAGACCCAAGGACCTGCCACTCCCTGATGAGGGGAGTGGGAGGGAGCTGGTGGGGAAGAACCTCTCAGCACACAACTGTCTGGGGAGCAGACACCAAGACAGTGAGGCCTGGCCTCTGCAAAGAGGAAGAGGAACAGAGCTGACTGTGGAGATTTTCATGTCTTGATAGCAGAGAGTGGGGAAGCTGGAGGCCATCAAAGGAGGTGACAGGGGAGAGAAAGTCTGTAACAGCACAAAGAACCAGACCCACGAGGCTCCATCAGGCTGAAATGAAGCTGGATCCTCACCTCTCCCTCTTATGCCAAGGCCACAAGTCAAGAGCATTGTCCCAAAACCTCACATTGCATCTCAGAAGACGACATCCAACAGGCCCAGGCAAAAGGCCGCAAATGCCATAAAGCACCACACGATTTGACTAAGCAACTCCACTTCTAGAAATTTCTTTTAAAAAAAGAATCCTAGGAATGAAAAGCACAAGGATATTTACCTGCATTCTTTACATAAATAGCTTTAAAATGCCCAAATTAGAGCATACTCACTTGAAAAAGATGTTAAGTAATGAGAATTATAATTATGAGGATGGTGCAATCACATTAAAAAAACATAAAAATACAGTAAATGAAAAAATTAATACATAGAACTGTACCCATACTTTATTTATAGTGATAGGAAAATGCATCCCTTTATGGGCAAGACCTGCAAGAGATTCACGCACTCAAAATGACCAGGTGGCAGGGCTGCCTGTGTGCGAGAGGATATTTTATTTTCACGATGAGTGCTATTATAATGCCATTTTTAACAAACACAAAGAGAATAGAAAGAAAATAAGTAGACTTAAGACTCTATGAAATGAGAGAAAAATAGGAAAGCAAATCAAACTTCTTTTTCTGGCAGGTTTTGGCAATTAGGGCTCCCTCCTTAATTGCCAAAGGGAGGGAGGGAGCATCACCATACCTGGCTAATTTTTTTTTTTTTTTTTAGAGATGAGGTTTTGCCATGTTGTCCAGGCAATTTGGGAGGCCAAGGAGGAAGGATCACCTGAGGCCAGGAGTTTGAGATCAGCCTAACCCACACTATTGAGAGACCAGGCCAAAGAGAGTTTAACCATTGAGACCTATCTCTGCATTAGCTCCTACCATGGACAGAAGCCGTCCTCCACCACCAGCACCTTCCTACCTCCTCCATGACCTCAGACACACACAGGCCTGACTCAGACACCCCCAATCAGGTTCCCTTGGCAATGGGTATTTGGAGGGGGAAGCAAGTCCTTGATGTCTGAGGGCTCTTATGCCAGATCTTGCCATGTTTGTTCACGACGCATTTATCTATTATTTATTTATTTAGAGACAGGGTCTCTGTTGCCCAGGCTGGAGTGCAGTGGCATAATCCCAGCTTACTGCAGCCTGGACCTCATGGGCTCAGGTGATTCTCCCGCCTCAGCCTCCTGAGTAGCTGGGACCACAGGCACACACCACCCCGCCCGGCTAATTTTTGTATTTTTAGTAGAGATGGGGTTTTACCACGTTGGCCAGACTGGTCTTGAACTTCTGGTCTCAAGTGATCTGCCCGCCTTGGCCTCCCAAAGGTCTAGGATTATAGGTGGGAGCCATCACATCGGCGCACAAAGCATTTCTAGCTTGCTCCAATCAACTAAATATACTTTTCAGGACACAGCTTTCTATAAAAGATCTTCCTTTCTCTTTAGCTTAAATCAACCTTTCCCGAACTGGATGCCATAAGAAATTGATACCTGTTGCTAGTAAAACAGGTCCTGTAGTCAGTTATTGGGAGATGCTGCATTCCACAGCCCCTCAACTCACATTCACAAGGCTCATTAAAAATCAAGGATCAGAGAGTAGTATTACCATACAGAACGCTTTTTGTTTTACGGAACCCTTTTTGTTTTACAGAACCCGTAAAAGTCTTCTGCAGAACTACGACCAGTGTCTTAAATAGTTGGTAGATAATTCATTCCAAGGCCGGGCACAGTGGCTCATGCCTATAATCCAAGCAATTTGGGAGGCCGAAGAGGATCGCTTGAGGCCAGGAGTTCGAGATCAGCCTGGGCAACATGTTGGAACCTCGTCTCTACAAAAAGTAGAAAAGAAAAAAATAGCCAGGTGTGGTGGTACGCACCTGTAGTCTCAGCTATTTGGAAGGCTGAGTTGGGAGGACTGCTCGAGCCCTGGAGGTGGAGGCTGCAGTGAACCATGATGGCACCGCTGTACTCCAGCCTGGGTGACAGAGCAAGACCTTTTCTCAAAAAAGCAAAACAAAGCAAAAAACAACGGCAACAACAACAGAAGAATTAATTCCATATCTTAGCATGGACCAAGTAATCCCCTTGGGGTGCTGCAGGCCTTAGCAGCTGCCCACATATCTGCTGCCTTCTGGATGTCCTTGGCAGATAGGTACCACCTGCCAACCTGTCCCTCCAGAGTATCTCTCCTCTCAGACCCTCCAGACACCTGCCAGGCCAGGCATGACAAGGAAAGCCCACTCTGCAGATGCCAAGCAGAGCTTCAGCTCCAGCTGCCTGTTCGCGCCTGGCTTCCAACCATTTGTCAGCTAAAGCCAGCAGGCTTGGGAGGCTCAGCTGTGAATTTACCAGCATCAGTCAGCCAGTGATACAGCTTATCTCACTGTTACATGAAACACGTTCTGATGAACTTGAAGAAGAGTCCCAAAGTTAGAAAGTTCTAAAACACTGCCAGTTTCAACAAACAGTAACTTTTCATGGTGCCACACTCCCTCCAGAAAGGAAACCCAGTGCCACTGAAATTCCCTCCTTATACAAAGGAAGCTGGTTGCTACTCTTGCCAGACTCCCCTCGCAGAAGCCCCGACACAGACCTGAGCCTGGCTCCATGACTGGTCCTGAAGATGCCACTCAAGCGATGCACCCGGGCCAGGTGCTGCCTGCCGCCCAGGAGGCTCAGCTGAGTCAGTGCGTGCGTGCGTGCAGCTGGCTAGGTCCTGTCTGCCGGCTGGAGTGGGAGGTCTCTGTTTTGCATATCTGTGAGCAGCAGTGAGCCAGAGCAGGAAAAGCCTGGGCTGGAAATTCTTTCGTGAAAATGGAATATGAGTGGAAAATTTCCAAGACTCCTGAAGTCCCCAGGTAATGCCAGTTATCTAAGGCAAAATGGCTGTGGTATCCCAAATGTAGTGTTCTGGCCCTCTTCACAGCCCTCATAAGAAGAAACTAAAGCGGCGGCTTCCTCATTACAACAGTAAACTCAGCCGTCCTGCCCAGCTGCAGGAGATAAGCCACAGCCTCCCTCTAACGCCCGGCCTCCTCCTGAAAGCTGAGTAGCAACGAGCGATATAATCACCTTTGCTGCTTCCATTCTGAACGTGCTTCAGGCCTTGCCAGACAACTGGGTCCATTTTATCAAGGGGATTTGTCTCAGGTACAGCCCGCCTTGCCTCTTCTCAGAAAGCCCCCCCCAAAAGCAACCCTCCCGAGGGCACCCCAGAACTGGCAGGGGGAGCTTCATTCCCAGGTGCTAATACAATTTTCTCCATCCCCTCCTCCTCTGGAAGGGAAAGACCATGAACTGCTTCCACCTTTCCCAGGAAAGCACTGCAGGGAGACTCAGGGAGCGGGAACTGCCTCAGCAGAGAGGCAGACAGCAGACAGGGGCAGGCTAGGATGAAAAGCTGACAGCCCCATCCCACTCCTTCCTTTCTTCCCAGAAAGAAGCCCACATCACAGGTGACTGCGAAGCCTGACAAGCTTTACCAGAACCCCCACCCCCATCCACACACACAGAAAAGGAGTACACCCCAACTGACCCACCGGAACCCACCCCAAACCCTCCCCTGCTTACAGCTGCTCACGGCTCCCACATGGGCCTCCAGCTCGGAGTGCTGGCTGGACTCTGCCACTCCTCCTAGAGAAGGTGGAGCCTGCCTCAAGTGACCCACAGGAGTAGTCCTCTAAAACCAAGCAGGGTTAATTAAAATGGCATCACAGGGTGCAAAGCTCTGATCTTCATCTGCCCTTTAGAAGAGTGAGAAGGCTCAGAACAGACACACAGCCTCCCAGTGACTTAGGCAAATCGCGTGGGTCTGGGAAATAACCATGAGCAAAATGGCTATTTCTGTGGTGCTGTTGAAATCCTGGGGAGAAGAGCCCAGGAAGGATGGGTCAGTTGTTTACCAGGAGGCTAGCTGTAACCCTGACTTAGGCCTGAGTCACCTCTGCATGTCCAATCGTGAGGCTGTGTCTTACTGAGCTCACATCATAATTCCTTGGTGCACAGAGCAGTATTACAGGGTTGACACATGATCCTCGGGCTGCTGCTGGGCTTTAGCTACCCAGAGATTATGACCCACCTGTCCTCACAGCTGTTTCATAAACAGTGCAATCAGCAGGCTACAAGCAACCTAGAGGGAAGGTAATGTTTATTCATTAAACAATTAAATGAACTTACAGTATGAGAAAAAAATTCAAGCCCTTAGTACTATTCTGCCAGAAGGAGGAGGGGCAGATGATTTTTTTCTGCTCGTGTTTTGGGGAAGGGGGAGGTAGAGTGAGGACTGCAATGGAAGGATTCCAGCCCAAGGATTTAAGTCCAACACGTTCAGGGAATTTTATTCTGCACCTTTAACCAGATCCCAACTAGCCTTAGTCTAAACAAGCATTTTTCAAAGTGCAGTCTGCAGAACATGAAAGGTCAGAAGACTTCGAAAATACTGCATCCCATAGTCCCTTATGGGTATTCATGCACAATTTCTACTAGCAGATTCAACACCTGAGAATTTCTGCAGTAAAGAAAGCTGCTTAACGTTGTTTAACCCGACCCACTTATTTGACCATCCTAGAACTGCTATCATAGGAAAGAAACACCTATTAATATCTTGTGGCATGGGCTTTGGGAAACACCCTCCACCTTGAGTCTTCATTTTCCAACTTAGAGAAAGCTGCCTTCCTGGAGCCCAGTTTACAGGTATGAGACCCATTGCATCAGGTTCAGACAGAAACCAGCAGCAGCTCCACTAAGATGACACAGGTTGTAACAATGGCCAAGGGTCCTGCTGAAGCCAAGAGGAGGGAAGACTCTCCAGAACATGAGCAGTTTAGAAGAAAAATACAGTTCTGTCCCAGAAGAGCAAGCTCTTCTCAGGACCTCGCAATTCCACCTTGAGCGTAACTTGTTGCTGCTCCTTGCAGCCACGATGTCTCCGTGGACTGAAGACCACTGATCCCAAGCTAAAGCCTTGTTTCCATTTCGAACAAACATCAAGACAATTTATGATAACCAGACACAGGGCCTGCTTCTCCTGCCCAAGAGACTAGATTGCATCCCCTTTTATCACTTAAGCACCCCTTACAAACTCTAAAAGACAGAAGAGGATGGAATCAAATCGTGTCTCATCAAGAAAGATAATGGCCGGGCATGGTGGCTCATGCATGTAATCCCAGCACTTTGGGAGGCCGAGGCAAGGGGATCACGAGGTCAGGAGATTGAGACCATCCTGGCCAACATGGGGAAACCCCATCTCTACTAAAAACACAAAAATTAGCCCGGTGTGGCAGTGGGTGCCTATAATCCCAGCTACTTGGGAAGCTGAGGCAGGAGAATCGCTTGAACCCAGGCGGTGGAGGTTGCAGTGAGCTGAGATTGTGCCACTGCACTCCAGCCTGGGTGACAGAGTGAGACGCCATCTCAAACAAATAAACTCCAGCTAGACTCCCTGCATTTGAATCCTGTTCCACCACTTAGTTGCATGACCTTGGGCAAGTTAAATAACTTTTCTGTGGCTCAGTTTTATTCCCTATAAAGTGGGGATAATAAAAAGCCAATCTCATAGGTTACCATGACAACAAGCATACGTAAAGTGTTTAGACTGGTACCTGGCATAGAGTATGTGTTTTATAAGCATTATCTGCCAGCATCATTGTCATTATCATTATATCAGATACGAGAGAGTATAACTAGGAAAATGAACATGAAGTTTTATCTAGACACTGAATCCTTTTATTCAACCTTATTTATTGAGCACCACCATGTGCCTGGCACTCTCCATTTCTATTACCTGGGTGCAGGAAGAAGGAAAACATATTTAAATGTGAAGCCAGATCAGCAGAAGGAACATCCTTCTCCCCTATGAATGGTACTTCTCAGTGACTATACACAGCCAGGACTCCAGCATGAGCTCATCTTCCCATGCCCCAGTCAGTTCCTTACAAATCAAAAGCCCAAAGCAATTGTCTGTTGTCCTAGATATGCAACCAGCATACAGAAGAACTAAGAGATTATTATATCTGGTGGAAGAATCATGGAGGCCAATGGGCAGCTTTAGGGGAGAAAGGGTATCTCCCTGTTAACCTGAAGGCTACATATTATCTGCCCATGACATTTTCAACACCTGAGGCAGATTTTGAGGTCATTTGAAGAGTGATCCAGTCAGTGTAGAGGCAAAAAACTAAAAAATAAAAAATAAAAAAAAGCCTTATCTCTCAAAGAGCTTCTCGACCTAGCTGAGAGCTAGGAGAACCTTAGAAGACTGAGGCTGAGCTAAGGATGGGGCTGAGAGGTGAAAGAGTCTCCCAGCCACCACCTATGCAAGAGTCATCATTCCTAGAGAGGGCAGTCCCATACCATCATCTTCAGAGCAAGCCAGGCCCCATGGAGCTGCAGCCAGGCCAGGTCAACTACCCCCAGACCTGCTGTCAACAGTCCCAGAGGTGTGAAGTGACAGAGGCTCTGTCTGCCTGGCTCAACGGCTCCACTAACACTCGGCCTTAATGCTGCACAGCCAAGGAAAGAATTTCTCCTCTGCAGGTTCCAGCTGCAGGCAGCTTTTCCATGACGATGGCCAAATGTTGGTCACCACATCCAGAGGAAAGCCAGCAAGGGCTCAAGACCATGCTAAAATCCCTCCTTGTTCTGCCTGCTTTGGCCCCGCTCCTTTTTTGATGTGTCAACATCAAGCTTTCAGCCACATACAGTTTGAGGAAATGATACTCTAGTTAGCAAGCCTCTCCTATTCCAAGGCCTCTCAAAACTCTCCCCAACGACCTCTGCCAGCCTAGACCAGCCATTAGCAGCTCTGCTGGCAAAGCAGCTACCAGAAGATCAAGGGCAGAAAGCAGACTGCCAGAGCCCAAGGCTGTACACCTCCCTTGCCAGGAGACAGCCAAAGAGGTAAGGATGAAGGTCTCAAATGACCTCATCACCCTATCATCCAGTCTATCCTCCGCCTCCAGGTAGAAGTCCACCTCAGCTGTCCACATCCAGCCAGCCCTCAAGCACCTAGAAACTTGTCCAGGCGCTTAAGGGGCGACAAGTCCCAGGTCCCTTTATTTCTCTAAACCTTGCGATTCCATTCTAGGCCGCCAGGGAATCGGGATGCTGCCGGCTCACCTGAGGCTGCTGGGGCTCGGGCCACCGCAGAGGCAGGGGCAGGGACAGGGACAGGAATAGGGGACAGGGCAAAGGATGAGACCGGGGTCGGCGCCACCGCCTCTGCGAGCAGGGAAGGCGGAAGCCGCGGTTCAGACCCCAGGGTGCTGCCGATTCCCGCCTGGGCCGCAGGGTCCGCGGGGCTGGCCCAAGGTCAGCCGCGCAGCCGCGCTCGCACTCACCCGGTTCTGAAGACAGGGCCATGCCGCGGGCCGAAGGGGACGGCCGCAGGGCTGGAGCAAAGGGGATGCGCTGGGCACGACGGAGCGGGGCTGCTGGGCACTGACGCCAGCTAGGGCCGGGGCCGGACCAGGCCGCGCCCCGCAGCAGGCGCGGGGGCCGGGCGTTCAGAGGGTGCAGCGCTGCGGATCCCCGGCCGGGCGGGCCCCGCGGGAGCCGGGAGGGCCGCCTCCGCAGGGAGGAAGCCGGCCGGCCGCGTGCAGCCCCCGTCGGTGCCCTACCTGGGCGCGGAGCAGAGCAGAGAGAGCCGAGGGGCTACCTGAAGCGCCCGGGCCGCGCGGCCAACGGGAAACTTGAGAGCAGCAGGGGCGCGGCGGCCGCCAGGGCCCTTGGCCGGAAGCACCCGCCGTCTCCTGGGCTCCGCCGGGCCGCGCCGCAGCCCGGGGCAGATGCCAGCCGGGCTCCCAGACCTCAACTGCGCTGGGCTCCCACACAGCTCCCCGTGCCGCCCGGGCTTACCCGACGTCCTCCCCTCCCCACACAACTTTTCCCGGGGCGAGACTCTGGGGGTCTCGGCCCCACACAGGTGACTTACTCCCTGTAGCTGCAGCAACCCGCAAGCATCGGTTTCTTCCAGGCGTTCTTCTGGTCACTTAGACACACACACACACACACACACACACACACGCACACGCACACGCTCCCTCTCCAACCCTCCGCGCTCTGCCTTCACCCGCCCCTCAAAGTCTGAATGACCTCCTAGTTGCCAAAGCCACTGGGTGCCGTGCAGCCTCCCTCGCTCACCTCTTCCTGGCATCTGAGCCTGCTGACCACGTTTTCCTTCCTGAAACTCTTGGAGTGCAGTTTCCAGAGTTGGCACCCGCGGCCCCCACCTCCGAATTTTTCACATACCTGGGTACCTACAGCTTCTCCGCCTCCGCGGTCTGGCTTTTCTTTGTGGTCCCACCCCAGGGTCCCACTGTGCCAGCCCCCTCTCCCACTCCGAGGCCCACTCTGGGCATCTCAGCCACTCCCATGGTTTTAACAGCCTCCTGCCTGATGATGACTCTTGAACTTCATCTCCAGTCCAGAATGCCCCCGAGCTGCTGAAGATGGTGAATCTAACTGTCTAGGGAACATCTCTAGCGCTTCCTAGCCTCGAGGAAGCTGTCCAGACCCAAACTCCTAATTGCTTCCCAGGAAAACGCCAGAGCCTGCTTCTGTGTTTCCAATCTTAGTCCAATCGGCTTCTGTGTTTCCAGTCGGCACCACCGCGGGGCCACAGTTGGGAGCCATTGTTGACTCGGTCTCCCTTTCCTCTGTCACCAAGTAAGTCACCAAGCTCGGAGAGGAAACTTCATTAGTGAGCCCCCACTGTGTGTCCTCACTGTGTCAACCACTTTCACAGAGTTGTCTCATGTAAGCACCAAGTTTTATTCTTTCTACCCCATAGTCTGATTAGTCTGGTATTCACAATTCATGTATTCATAAACGTTTTGCACATAAGACTGCATTAATGAGTTACATATTATAAAGAACACTAAAAACATTAAAGGTTGTGGTAAAGATGAAACAATTTTAAATTACTTCATTTTTATGAATGGTACGATATACCTTTTTCCTTTCACTTTGAAGTTATTAGCAATAATCTGTTTAGTGAGAGTAACATGCTTAAAAATGATTTAAATAAATCTTAGTTTAATACTTTATGAGACCAGAAAGTGTGCTTGTAAGTTCAGTTAATGGTAGTACTTGGTCCTAATGGCTATTCTTTAAATTAAATATATATATATATATATATATCTCACAAGGATTAAATAAGATTAAATAGGCCTGAATGGAGAACTGTATCTTTGCACTTATTAAATCAAAATTCTTACTGTTTAAATTTGATCTATCAATTTTGCAAATGTGAAAACTCTTCTTTGTCCATGAAAACAACATTCTCAATGTGTTTTCCTCAGCTGTTATTGCAAATCGTTTTAACAAATGGGACTTTTAAAACACTTGAAATTCTGCATTTGGAATATTGTAAAATGGATTTAGAAGTATGCTTCTACATTTTGCAGATTGTGACTGTGAGAGTATAGGTGACACTGGGGCATGCTTCATTTTGGCATTAAAATCACATGATAATGGAAACAGTTCCAAATGTCAATTTTCAAAGTGCCTTCCCTGTAACACAATTCTTCTAACGCACATTTGTTATGTCAGTTCATTGCTGAAATATCACGTTTACCCAAAAGGGCACTGTGTGTATGTGTGTGTATATATGTGTGTGTGTGTTTCTTTCTGCTATGCATCACACTTGTGACAATCGCAGGCCAGCACATCCGAGGTCAGCAAATTTGGAGCACTTGTTCTTTGTTAAAGAAACTCATCTTTAAATTCACAACGTTCAAGTTGTTTGCCTTGAGATAATCAGTAAACCTTTGAATCGTAAGAAAGATTTTTAGTCTCATTCCACGTCTCAATACAAGGTGCTATAAAGATTCTGCTATATTTTAATTTTTAATTAACCATATTATTGACATCCTATAGTATTTTGTGCTCTTCTTGCTTCAACTTCTTGTTGTACTTTGTAAATGAATAATGTAATTGCTGAATTTCACATGTAGTCCCCATGGACCAGAACACGAACCACCCCCCAGTTTTGGAGGAGAGATTGGTGGTGCTGCTACTGCTTGGGGTTGGATGAGGGTGACAGCGGCAGTGAGAGATGGAGGGGGTGAGGGATAGAGGAGGTGGTTGTACTGGCAGAAGAGTAGTTAGGTGGTATTCATGTTGAACTGAGGCAATGGAAGGGTTACATTAAATCAATAGTCTTCAAAGTAGAATGTGTAGAATGATCCACTGAAATGTAAAAGAAAAATTTAGCCGGGCGCGGTGGCTCAAGCCTGTAATCCCAGCACTTTGGGAGGCCGAGGCGGGCGGATCACGAGGTCAGGAGATCGAGACCATACTGGCTAACACAGTGAAACCCCGTCTCTACTAAAAATACAAAACATTAGCCGGGCGAGGTGGCGGCGCCTGTAGTCCCAGCTACTCGGGAGGCTGACGCAGGAGAATGGCGGGAACCCGGGAGGCGGAGCTTGCAGTGAGCCGAGATCGCGCCACTGCACTCCAGCCTGGGTGACAGAGCAACACTCCGTCTCAAAAAAAAAAAAAAAAAGAAAAATTTAAACTTTTATTTCTACTTATTTTTTAGTCTAAAAATAGAAAAAAACAATTAACATTCACCAATGTTAACTACATGGAACTCTTACTCAACTCATGCGTCAGGTGACCATGCCATGTGTCATATCAGAGGCATAGTCAGGGACGAGAGGAGGTTGTGCAACATGGGGGACAGAGAATGGTACCATGACACCCTTGCCTTCAAAGTCTATTACTAGGTCTTATGAACTATTTGTATCCTGGACGGTAGATAGACAGATTATGTTATCTGGTTTTCACTAAACTCTTCTCACAAAAGAGACAAGTGGTAGAACAAAACATTTACATGTCTTGCTGAGTTTATAGCATTTACATGTTATGCTGGTCATACAAAACATGAACCACCCCTCACTTTCTATTCCAGAGAGGGCAGCCACTCCCTCAGTGGTTTACTTTTACCCATAAAACCACAGCATGTTTTACTAAGTTGTTCACTGTTGTGAACATATCTATCTTTCCTTTAGTAGGTCACAAAAAATATTTCTTTATGCATGTCATTATCAAAAAGCATAGCAAAGACTCAAGGTGAAACATGTTAGCAACTTGCATCCAACCATATAGCCAACCTCCACAACACACCATGTGTTCTAAAACCTATTCTTCAAACTTAAAGTCTGTGTGTCTTCCAACAGAATACATTTTTATGTATTGCCATCTTCTCTCTGTATTAACTCAGTCACTTTAACCACAGCAAATGCGACAGCTGTTTTTTCCAGTGATATTGACTGATATTTTGTCTTTTACTGTTAAGTAAGAAGCCTCAAAAGAGATTTCTGAGCATTTTTATGCACTCAGTAATAGTTCACAAAAGCACGCAACTAAGTATTCAGGCGCAGTGAAATGTGACTACACTCCCAGCTATTTGGGAGGCTGAGGCAGAACCTAGGAGTTCAAGTCCAGCCTGGGCAAATGACATATTTAAAATAATTTTTTTTGAGACAGAGTCTCGCTCTGTCACCCAGGCTGGAGTGCAGTGGCGTGATCTCAGCTCACTGCAATCTCCGCTTCCTGGGTTCAAGTGAGTCTCCTGCCTCAGCCTCCCAAGTAGCTGAGATTACAGGCATGTGCCACTATGCCCGGCTAATTTTTTTTGTATTTTTAGGAGGGACAGAGTTTCACCATGTTGGCCAGGCTGGTCTCCAACTCCTGACCTCACGTGATCTGCCCACCTCCGCCTCCCAAAGTGCTGGGATTATAGGCATGAGCCACCATGCCTGGCCAAAAAATAATTTTTAAAAGGTACACAACTAAGTATTTCATGACTTGGAATATCCCTGGAAAAAAAATTGTAGAGGTTTGTCTTCTTGCCCTGAGTTTAGAGCATTTACATGTCTTGCTGATCATGATGTCATATTTATATTATTATTAGCTAATACCTCAAGGGCCAATATATGGTGGTGTAAATCCATATTTCAAGTAGTCTTTTTTATAAAGGTGAACTTCTTAGTTGTCAGAGCTGACTACTACTGAGCTGACTAATCACAATGGATATCATATTAGTAGTACGAAATTGTCAGCTTTGCCATTTTCTGAGTTTGCTTTTGCTTGCATTATTCATATTATTTTCAGTCTATGGGTTCCTTTGAGGAATGTCTTCAAACCACTTGTCTCTTTTGTGAGAAGAGTTTAGTGAAAACCAGATAATATGTCTATCCACTGCCCAGGACGCAAATAGTTCTTAAGAACTAGCAATACATTTTGAAGGCAGCTGGGCTGGGGAGGGTGCCGTGGTCCCCTTCTCCATCCCCCATGTTGTAGAACCTCCTCTCTTCCCTGACTTGCCTCTGATATGATGCATGACATGGACACCTGATGCATGAGTTGAGTGAGGGTAAAATGTATAGTAGTAAACATTGGTGAAGGTTAATTTTTTAGTTTTAGA